TCCGCGCCGAAGAAGATGGGAGGGTCCCCACCGCCCCAAAGACGACGGGCAGCGAGTGCGGGGAACCGCCTGCGGGTGGCGGCGAGGCTGGAGCGCGCGGAGCCCGGGGCAGCGCTGGAGGCTGCAAACGCCGCCAGGCAGAGAGGAGCGAGGGGCGCCGTCCCAGGTTTGCTTCTCCTTGTCCGGGTGCCTTGGGCAAATGACTCCTTCCTTCCATCGAACAGCGAGAGCAGCTATGAACGTGCGCCACGCACAATGCGGGGGGCTCCCTATGCCAGGTCGTAGGGAAACCCCAGCCCTGACAAGTACCTGCAATGATGGTCCAGAGTATCCTGGGTAGGTGGCTGGTCACACAGCCACCGTGATGCTCAAAGTGTGGTTTCCTGGACCAGCAGCAGCACCAGACAATTTGTTAGAACTGTAGATTCTTGGGTCCCACCCCAGCCAGACCTAAATAACCCGAATCTCTGGGGATGTGGCCCAGCCATGTGTGTTTGTAAAAGCCTCCCAGGTGATTCTGGTACACTCCGTTCGGAGAACCAGGGAGCATATACTGGCAGGGCTGGTTTTAGAATCCAGGTCAATTCAATTCCTAAACTCATGCTCTGAATCATCCCTCCCTCCAGGGCTGCTCACTGGGCCTGTCCGGCTCTAAGGTTCTGTGATAGTATCTTTGGGTCCTTACCTCAGGAATAGAGAAGTAGTATAGCTGACTCCAAATAGCTAATAATGTGGAAATTTTCTACGGTAGAATCGTAGACTACCAATTTTGTCTTTCTTTTGTTTTGATATTTAAATGATTTGTATTTCTTTTTTAAAGTATGTTTTTATTGATTTCAGAGAAGGAGGGAGAGTGAGAGAAAGAGAGAGAGATAGAAACATCAATGATGAGAGGGAATCTTCGATAGGCTGCCTCCTGGATGCCCCCCACCAGGAACTGAGCCCACAACCCAGGCAGGTGCCCTGAACTGGAATTGGATCATGACCTTCTGGTTCATAGGTTGACACTCAACCACTGAGCCACACCAGCTGGGCTGAATGATTTGTATTTCTAAGTGCATAGGACCTGTGAGCAGGGGTCTGGGTGAGACGATCTGAGCAAGGAGACAGTCCTGACATGAATTGGGACAGGCAGGGAAGCCACTTGGGGATTAACAGCTGGATGAAGAAGTAATCTTGTTTTCTAATCTGGGACCCCGTGGGAGGAGGCCAGCGGTTTTCCAGTGATGGAGTCTGGAGAGACAGGGTCAGTGGAGCAGGGAGATCTTGCCCGGCTCCACTAGGTCAGGGGAATGTGAAAGATGGACATTCCCAAAGGAGTAGAAAAGGAGGTGTCCCCACTCCCTCAGCATGGTCACCTAGCTCCCCTGACTAATCCTCTAACCCCCAACTCCCTTTCTTTCACACTGGAGACTTTCTGGGGTTTAAATTCCTAAATAAAGACTTTCTGTAGCATTTACCTTGATCATCCATTTTCGCCCTTTTACAGACACTCGGGGCTCATTTTCACTCCCCTTGCTCCCCTTGCTCCCATTCTTGTCATTGGCCTTGTTTGACACCCATCTTTCTCAGAATAAGGACATTCTCTATCAGAGATTGTGGGACGCTGCCCCGCATTTCTGTCTCTCTGGGGACTGGACACTTCTGTGTGGGTCTGGCCCTACTATCTTTGCTCTAGCCTTCCCCTAACTCTGCTCTTTGACCCCCAGGGGCCACGTGGTTCTGACCTGGCCCTGGAGCCCCAGTCAGGACCCAGCCTGACCTGAGGGTGTTGGGCTAGGCTGGATTCACAGCCTCTGTTCTCCCCAGGACAGAGTCGTGACCACCACCCGCATCCTGGCGTTCCAGGTTCCCAAGGAGTGCTCCACTTTCCAGAAGCAGATTACTCATCCAGTGCTACTTCAGCTGACTCTGATTTTAAACGTGACTTTGAGTCGTCAGACTCATTAGTTGTCTAATTTGCAGGCACATGCAGTCTACAGGATGTGGGACCCACCCCTAATGTGTCATGCCCTGGGCTGTCTCTCCTAGCAGGGAGGACGGTTCGGGCGCCCAGGCCTCTGCTCCAGGAAGGTCTGGAGATGAGCCACCGCAGAGCAGTGACTGCGATCTCAGCCTGCCACTGGTGGCAGGCCACTTTTAGAAAGTGTTTTGTGGTTTTTTGTTTTTTGTTTTTAAATTGAAAAACTTACATAGGCACATAGTTACAAAAAAAAAAAAAAAGAAATCAAGCACTATAAAAAGGTATACAATGAAAGATACAGTTCCTTCCTCCCTAAACCTTCGGTCCTTCTCGCCAGAAATCATCAAAGCATGTTTATGACAAACTCTTCCTATCATCAAGCATTTCTGCAGGACATGCCTGAATTCCCTGCTCCTCAGGAAGTCCTGTGAATTTCATTTTTTCTCTCACAATCTTATTTTTATTTCTGGGCCATTTTAGGATTTGTTTTTGGGTGTTCTGAGTTTCGTTTTTCACATCAGCGTGCTTCAGGGAGTTCCCCCACCATGCAGCAGGAAATGTGGTAGGGAGCAGATCAGTGGGAGCAAGTGAGACAAGAGTAACGCTGCGGCTACTGACATCAGCTTTGGCCCTTATCTCCCTTCCACATGCCGTTCTTGGTAAGGAGACACCCACCTCCGTGCGGGCAGGATGAGGGAGATTTGCCCCTCAGGTGGAGTGCTGCCGGCTTCACTTAGCCCGGAAAGTTTGGAGAGAAGCTGACCCGAGCTTGCCTGGGAGGTTAGGAGGTGGGCAGCTGGCCTGCTGACAACTTGTCCCCCCTGCTCACGACTTTCCTCCCCCACTCCGGAGGCTGGCTAACCACGCTGGAAACCAAGCAAGTCCCTTTATCTTTCTTACATCTCAGGTTGTTATTTGTCAAGTGGGGTTGATGATGCCTAGGGTTGTTAGGAAACTCAGGCAAATAGCCGAGGTGAAAGTGTGACAGTTTAGTTCTTCTACTACATCTGTTCCCCCTTCCTTCTCATCTCATTCCCATGCCCAGAAGAGAAACCATCAAAGCGAAAAACCTAAGCAGAGCTGTTTCAAGTTCCGTCATAATCATTTATGCATACAGTTCACTCACCTCTGTTTGCCTCAATTTCCTCATCTGTAAAATACGTATAATATTAATTTTATTATTGAGTTGTCAGTTTAAAATAAGTGAAATGTTTAACCCACTGCCTAGTACACAATAAGCATTCAGTAAAGGTCAGAATGTTAGTCATTATCATTAGCTGTTTTCCTTCTTCCTTTCTTTTTTTAAAAAAATATATTTTTATTGATTTCAGAGAGGGAGAGGGAGAGAGAGAGAGAAACATCAGTGATAGAGAAACATCAGTGATGAGAGAGAATCATTGATTGACTGCCTCCTGCCTGCCCCACACTGGGGATCAAGCCCACAGCGCGGGCCGGTGCCCTGACTGAGAATCAACCAGTGACCTCCTGGTTCATAGGTCGATGCTCAACCACTGAGCCATGCCAGGTCGGCCCTTCTTCCTTTTCTACCACCAATAAAACAATGTTGAAGCCCACCGTGGGGAGCTTCTGTGCTAGGCATTGGGTAGGACACAGAGATACAAAGGTAAATAAACCACACCTTTCTCCACAGGACATCTATAGCCTAGGAAAGGAAGTTGATAAATGTAGAAAGGGGTATGACTGGTGTAGAGCCAGGACTATGCTAAGGTGAATGAGGCACTTGCTTTGGATGCAAAATTGAAGGGGGCACCCCAAAACTCAATGATCAAGTAAAATGTAATGAAATATTTTTTAAAAATCAAAATTAATGCAAAAAAAATCTGTGACAAAGAAAATATCAACAATCTATAATAATAAAAGTGTAATATGCTAATTAGACCAGACATCCTTCTGGACGTCCTTCCCGGGCTGCTGCTGCAAGGGCTGGGGTGGCAGCAGGGCCGCTGCCACGGCCTTCGGAGCCCCTTGCACGAATTTCGGGCCTCTAGTTTAAAGTAAAGAATAGTGCTCTGCTGAGCCATATTGGAGCTTGAGGCAAAATTTAAAAAAATGTGTACCCCATATTCATGTTTTTCTGTATATTTTAAATAGTTATTTTTCTAATAGTTGTAGTTGAAGAAATATTAAAAAATTTAAAAAGTAGGTGTATTAAAATTCCCAACATTAATTTAAGTTTAAATATTTTATTTATATCCAAACAGAATTTACTGATTTTACTTCAGTTTAAGTTAATTAAAATTTATTTAAGATCATCTCTTGGTCAAGAGAAATTTTCAAACATGGCAGTTTCTCAACTGAAAATGAAATAAGCAAAGAATTAGATTTTGAAAGTATCATTGGTGAGTTTACTTGCATTAAAGCCAATTTTGTTTTTCCTCAGGCTCCAATATAGCTCAGCAGGGCACTGGATTGGGGTCTGGACAAAGAACCTGGAGAAAATGGAGGGGGAAATAAGAGAAAGGGAGAGGGTTTGAAGAGTTGGAGGGTGGGTCATATAGTATTTATTGTTTTTATTACTTACCCAAATATCATATGTTTAGAAAGCACACACACACAAAGAAACACAAAGAAGAAAATAAACTACCCATAATTATTGTACTTAGAGATAACCCCTGTTACTATTGTGGTATAATACATTCTATTTTTTCTAATCTTATCTAATAATCGACAAAGATTGAAATTAACCATACCTCCGCTACAATTCCCATTGGCTAATCAGCGAGATATGCAAATTAACCACCAACAAAGATGGCGGCCAGCAGCCACACAGCTGAAGCGAGCAGGAGGCTTGGTTGCCCCAATGATGGAGGAAGCCAAGCTTCCTCCCTGCTGCGGCCGGGCTCTGAGCTCCACTCTAAGCAACAAAGTTGCAATTATAGAAGCTAAACAAACCCCAGATATCTGCTTTCAGCAGGCCGTGGCCTTGGAGCTGGAGCGGCAAAAGTTTCAATTATAGAAGGTAAATAAATCCCAGAATAAAAATAAATAAATAAAAAAAGGAGAGGCTGGGAGCTTCAGTCGCCGGCAGGCTTGGCCAGCCTAAAAAAAGCCCTCAGC